GGCCTCCCCTAGGCCACTGGGGATCATCTCAGAAATGTCTGAGAGAAACCCCGGTTTGCCTCTGGGAAGCGCTGAGGCTGCACTGTAAATTAGGCTGAGGGGAAGGTGATGACCCTTGTTTGTGCCCAAGACCCCTCCCGTTGGACAATGATGGAGGAGGAGATGTGGCTGTGCTCTGGGATGGCCAGGTGCCCCCCATTCCCTCCCAGGCCTGTCCCCACAGCAAGCACCAAAGCTGCTGGAGCTCTGGAACAGCAACTGTTAAACCCTTGCTATTCCCAGAGGGAAGCCTTCCCTGAGGCACAGCCCAGGCCCACCCAGGCCCCTGCAGGGCTTGGCACAAGGAGAGCAGTGGCTTTCTCACTCACCTGTCGCGTGTCCATCCGCTCCTTGGCACGAGCACTGTCCAAAGTGCAGTGTCCAAAGGCCCTTGGCCTTCGCAGGGTTTAACTCTCAGTGCCTAAAGGGCCTTGGCATTTGCAAAGTCTAAACCCCAATGTCCAATGGAGTTGGGTCCAAACCCCAGTATCTAAAGGCCCTTGGCCTTTGCAGGGTCCAAACCCCAATCTCCAAAGGTTCTTGGCCTTTGCAGGGGCAATAGCGATCAAACATGCCAAAGGTGCTGTTGGCCGTTGCAAGGTCCAAGCCCCAATGGTCACAAGCTGTTGACAGCTCCATGGTCCAAACCCAAATAGCCAAGAGCTGTTGATTGTTTCCAGGGTGCAACCCCCAACATTTCATGGACTGTTGACGGTTGCCACGGTCTGAGTCCCAACATTGCAGGGACTGTTGGAGAGGCCCTCCCCGGCTCTCGCCTCATCCCTGCTCCCTGCTGGCCCAGGCACCAGCCCTGCCTCCCCCATGTCCCCACAACCCTGCTGGGCAGCTGGGCAGGGACCCAGCTCATGAGTTCCAAGTTCCTGCACCAGGCAGCATCAGTTTGCAGAGCCTCATCGGACAGAGCAGTTTTCTCCGAGGTGGAGCAAATCTTAAGAATTTATAAAATGTGATCGCATACAGTAATGAGTTGCATGCTTCCTATCTAGGCTGATTCTGTCTCTGGAGGAAAAGACCCTGTGCCTCAGATCACTGGAAGAAAGGAACCAGGTGCTGAACAATCAGCTGTCTCAGTTTCATTCTGCTCTTCAGCAGGCTGAACAACTCTCTTCAATTTGTGCAGGACAACTGAAGCAGCTCAACACCCAGGTAAGCTGTGCACTCCATCCTCTTCTCCAGGGACACACAACACCACCTTTGGCATGCTAGTCCCAACCTCTTTCCCCTCCCAGCAGCATCCACGTGTTCTTCCCAGGCCTGCTGCTGCTGCTGCACCCTCAGGCCAAGGCTGGATCTGGTGTCTGCTGCCAAAGTTTTCCCCCATTCTTTCCTGGGTCCCAGCAGGAAATCTGGGAGCAGAAGCAGCAGCACACTCCTCTGGAGCTTCTCTGTCCCTCTGTTAGCAGTGCTGTCCCTGACAGGATTGGTGCCTGTGCCAGGCACTGAGCAATGTGGGGACACAGACGTGGCTATGGCAGGCTGGGCAGGGCACTTCCACCACAGCCAGTTCAGCCCGTGTTCAGAGCTGCAGCCTCAAGGGTGCCCCTTGCCTCCCTTTCCCTGTTTTCTCTACCTTTGTCTCTACTGGAATCCTTGGTTCTGCACCTTCTGTTTCTGGTGTATTTCTGCCTGAAGTCTTTTCTCCTTCAATGCTCTCCCTACTGCCCGCTCTGCTGCCTCAGGAGCAGCCCAGTCCCTGAGGCTCTCTGCATCCATCTTCCAGATCCAGGCCCTGCAGGATGCAGTGACAGAGAAGGCAGCTCAGCAGGACACTCAAGAGAAGGAGCTGCTGCAGGAGCTGGAAAAGTCCCGAGCAGGAGAACAGAGCTTGAGGGACGCTGTGCATGTGCTGCAGGCTGAGGTGTCTGAGCTGCGTCTGAGGCTCCAGAGCTCTGAGGAAAGAGCAGAGGCCATGGCCACACACTGTGAGGCCATGGAGATGGAGCTGAGGATGGCTCAGGCTGACAACAACCAAATCAAGGCCTGCAAACAGGAGCTGCAGACACTGTTGGAGGAAACTCAGCAAGGTACAACTTCTCTCCCATCCATTGCCCCATCCTGTTCCACCAGCGGGGATCTCTGATCCCATGCAGAGGTAAAGGCCTTTGCCCAGAGATGGCAGACAGGAAAAACAACCAGCACGAGACTTATCCATCCAGGCGCCAGTCAAAGTTTATCTCAAGGACGATGCTGTGGCTGGCGGTGCCAACTGGCTCTGCTGTGGCTGATCCCATACACAGCTGGTGCCTTTCAGGTGCTGTGTCTGTGCTAAGCAGCTGAAGCTGGATGCCTCAGCTCAATTCCCCCAAATTTCAGGCCCTGTCAAAGCCTCCAGGCTATTGGCCTCTCTGGAGCAGGGCTGCACAGGCATCCCAGCTGCTTTGTCTCTCTTGGATTGTTCACTCTGCACAAGGCCAAGAGCAAACACACTTTGCTATTCCTCTGAACCTTGCCCCTGCCATTCCTGCTTTTTTCTCTGCCTGGAAATTTCCTTCATTTCTCTCACTTTTGGAAGCTCTTCTGGGCTTAAGGCCTGGCAAACCACAGCAGGCAGAGAAGACAGTGCTGTTGTCTCTGCAGGGTGCCCATCAGATTACTTTGCTTTGCTTTCTCCCTTCTCTTTCCCCTTCACTCCAGCAGCAATATGGAGGGCAGAAGAGCAGAAGACCTCTCTAGAAACTGCCTTGAAGGAAGAGGCTGTGACTGTTCGTCAGGAGGTGGCATCACTGCAGAGGAAACTGGAGAGCCAGGAGAA